TGCGCATTACAGTCAGAAATCACCTGAGAAGTCCTGGCTGTCTTCATGCTAAGTAACAGAAAGAGTAAATTCACATACAGGCACCACCATATTAATCCCTTTTTGCAAGGTTCCTCATCATCAGAAGTACAAGAAATCTCTTTTGAAATAGAAAGGTTGGGGTTTTTTAAAGTACTGATAGAGAGATGTGGTGCTGCTTCCCATGTGCCAGTCAAGAAGAGCTGGGGCATCTACACAAGGCTCTATGCAGATGACAAAAAGCAACGCAAGTCAAATGCTCTTTTCCTTTTATAATCGTTCTTTCTCTAGCACTGCATCAACTCTTAGTTACCTAGCCCAAGAAGCACAAGATTTTTTCAATTGCTTCTTGATTCAGTCTGTTACATCTTTAATGCCTCAACTGTAGAGAGAAATAACCTAGCATGGATAATACCTACTTTTTTTTCTGTCTTTTTTTCTCCTACATCAGGTTAAGTAGTACCTGACACATCTATAGCTATAAAACAGGTTTCTCCCCTCTTGACTATGATTTATGTGGTTTCCTTTGTTTTATTAGAACAAAGAGTTTTAAACTCTCGGTTTCAGCCGGCAGAAGCCGTTTCCAGCAATTCTGCCATTAAAATTGTATTCTAACCAAATTGTTCTAAAGCCCCTAAGACACTGATGCAAAAAAGCAATGCATTCTTAAACAGAGATAGCCAAGGGCTGATCTAGACTTCAAAATTAATTCCAGAAGCACTAATGGAGAAAAGCCAAAGCGGTGAAGGTCAGCACAGCAAAGAAGATGAAGGGTCTTTCCTACAGAGGATCTTCTAGTAAAGTAATTTGGCATTTGATACAGAATGGCCCAAGGAGAAAAGGGTGGAGGGAGAGAGGAAGAAATGGTAAAGATGGAATGGTATCTGCAGAAGTGGCAGCCAGCACGTAAACAGCTCAGCTTGCTAGTGAGAAGGGGAGCCTGAAGAAGAGGAGCTTGTACCAGAATAAGAATATATGGCTGGGGCTTAATTGCTTGGACTTCTGCACAGGATGGGGCAAAAGGCAGAAGAGCACAGAATAAGGCCAAGGGGATGCAGCTAAATACAACTGTTAGACACACACACCCCAGCAGCAAAGGATCTTGCAGTTAAGCATCTTCCAGAGCAACGCAGATGTCTTGCCTTCATTCTCCCCGCTAATATATTTGCGGAAGGATAAGAAATTAAGCATAACTAAATACTTCCAGTCAGTCAGGGAAAGCACTGGTAAGACTCTGCTCACAGAAATCCTTCTGTGCTCCCCAAAGGTACATTCACTCGCTTATTTCATTCAATACCAGGTTGATTGAGTGACAAGCTTCAGCACTGAAATGCCAATTTAAGTGCTTTCAGATGCCCACTGATTCAGCCAGGAAGGTTTGTGACATAAACAATGTAGCTACGGCCATTTCATAATACTCCAACTACAAATACAGATACAATTTTTAGCTGAGTATCAGTAACAGAGTATTTTTTACAAACATTAGGCTTACCACAAACTGTGAGGTTCAGTATTTCTTATATATTAATGTCTCGTTTAGATTAGGCAATGATTGCACCAAGATTTATTTCAATTCATTCATTCAGTTCATTATACCAATGCCCAGATACTTAATTGCTTCTGTTGCCAGTTGGAAATCCTCAGAGTTTAAGTTATTGCTTAACAAGGGTAAACTTCATTAGTCTTATAAATTCAGTTATTTGCATTGCTGAAGTATTCTTCACCACGACAGAACAGAGCAGCAGGAGCTACTCCTGCTGTATGAGTATTTAGATGAGAGATATATTCCACCAAAAGCAGGCAGCAGGAGCTCCTGAAGGACAAAGGCAACAAGACCAACACTCACCTGCAAGAAACAGCTATGCAGAAGGCTACACACAGATGCAGATCAAACATAAAGATCCCATTAACCTGTCTTCTATCTAAGGAAGACATGAAATAAGTCTTTCCTATCTCACATCATACAACCACCAACCATTGGGGGTTTTATATACATCTTGTCAACCCTTGACTTCTCCTCTACCTTTGCGTGGGCTTCCTTGCCCCAGCACTGGCTTCTGATGGTCCTCAAAGTGTATCCTACAGAATCAATCTGCAAGACACTGGTTTCAGGCTGCGCATTACAGTCAGAAATCACCTGAGAAGTCCTGGCTGTCTTCATGCTAAGTAACAGAAAGAGTAAATTCACATACAGGCACCACCATATTAATCCCTTTTTGCAAGGTTCCTCATCATCAGAAGTACAAGAAATCTCTTTTGAAATAGAAAGGTTGGGGTTTTTTAAAGTACTGATAGAGAGATGTGGTGCTGCTTCCCATGTGCCAGTCAAGAAGAGCTGGGGCATCTACACAAGGCTCTATGCAGATGACAAAAAGCAACGCAAGTCAAATGCTCTTTTCCTTTTATAATCGTTCTTTCTCTAGCACTGCATCAACTCTTAGTTACCTAGCCCAAGAAGCACAAGATTTTTTCAATTGCTTCTTGATTCAGTCTGTTACATCTTTAATGCCTCAACTGTAGAGAGAAATAATTCTAAGCAAACAAAAAGAGGAAGACATCCCTCATCTTAAAAGAAAACTTCACTGACAGCCTGCAGGAGAGCATTCCTTACTGGAACGGCAACTGAGTGTCTCCAGTTCACTGACAGGCCATCTAAGGTTAAGCAGAAAATTAGCAGACACATTCCTCATTAGAGTCACCTGCCATCAAAGGGACAGTAATTCTTTGCAATGCTAAGACAGCCACCCTTAGGACCTGCCAGACCTCTCGGAGACTAACTGTGGAGCACAGGAGAGTTTCACAGCGCAGCAGAAATATGGTTGCTGTGCTAAAGCCTCATCGGTCATCCCCAGGACAGAATCACTGCACCACCAGGACTGGTCACACAAAGGACCTCCCCAACCTGCCTCTCACTTCAATACCACTGCAACACTCAATAAATCAGAATCCCTTACTGCTAAGTGTAAATACTCAGATGCACATGGACATTTCTCTCTGTAGTTTATAAATCACATTCTCAGTGACGCTTGGCTTATTTGATCCCCATGCCCTGGCTATGTGTATTACTATTTATCTTTTATTGATAATTCATTACACTTACTAGTACTTACTGTAATAACCCAGGATGTCACTACCTGGATAACCCAGGATGTCATTACAAACACTTTTCATTCACCTACGCTTACTCTTCAAGTCAACTAATCACTCCATTTATATATTGTGAAAGACAAAAGGAAAATTGCAGTTTCTCATCCCTCATTTATTTAAACACAAAGTTAAAATGCCTATTTGAGAGTCTGTTTAAAACTCCTACAGGTGTCAGTATGAAGTGCTTTCTACACCAACAATACCTCTTATTCAACAGCTGTATGCCAAGTAATTAAAGTAACACCGTAAGCCTGGGTGTACCTAAATCTTACAATTTACTATTTAGTGTTTTATAAATTTATAAAAGACAAAGCACACAGAGCAAGAAAAAAAAAAACCAAAACCACAGCAAGCCAGTCTCTCCAGATTGATGAAGATTTGGGGGTCCACAGACTGGGCTAGACCAAAGAAGCTGCTGTCTCCTTTATCTTATTTCTATCCGTGCCCTCAGTTGAGCAAGGTCAAGCCTGGCCACAGTGCTAAGGAACAGCAGGAGCCAAAAAGCAGGAGCCAGTTCCAGGAGCCAAAAAACGCTCCCTGAAATCACTCCTGACCTAGCACTCTGCTTACCCTTAGTGCTTCGTTACTGCAGGTATCACCCCTGATAAAAAGCAAAGCTAACAACTGACAATTTGGCTGTTGTTAAAAGCAGAGGTGAATCTGCTGCAGGAGGGAGATGTTACCTCGGTGTTTTTTGGAGAGCATTGCATAGGACATGATGTCCTACCTACTTTACAATCACGCTGAGGATGAAAAAAAGCCTGCTCACTTCCCTGCCTGAAAAGGGGCGTTATCCTGGCCATCCCCACAGAGACATTTGGGTCTGGCAGATAAAAAGGCACTACATAAGTGCAGATTATCAGCAAAATGTAGCATAAGACAACACTGTGCTGGATCACTGTGTTCTTCCTCTGCCTGAGCAACTCCTTTTAGCAGACATAGAGGTTTAGGAACAGCCAGAACAATTACCATCCTCTTCCTCCTGTTACATTAAAACTACAGCCTTCTAGCCACAACGCAGGTGAGCAGAGTGCCAGCAATAAATCATCTAAACATTGGAGTGGAAATAAGATGGGTTTTTAGCAAAGAGTCTATTTTCAGAGCCTAATTGCAGCCACGAGCTTGAGTGACACTGCTGGTGCCACACCACTTCCATATTTTGAGAGAAGATACGAGAGTCCTTGATTTATTTCAAACGTGGCATGGCTCAGTAAGGACCACCTCAGGCAAGTACAAATATCCACTTTTCTCCTCACAGTTATGGAAACAAGCTTTGAGCTTCATTGCTCAGAGTAGGTGTGCTCAGACTCTGGCCCTTAAAAACCTCCTGAGTCCTGCAGGCAGCTACCTTACCACCAAAAGATGTGACTGTGCTGTCATAGCAGCTCCTCTGCTATGTTTTGTATGTGAAGCATTCAGGAGAACACAAAGATAAGGAGAGCAGCATCCCCTGGCCAAGAATGCTGTCCCTAGAAGCCCTCCCAGAAGCTGAAAACATGTTTTCACTCAGGCTGGTAGAGTCAAGAGATTCCTCCTTGCAGCATCATCACACAAGGGGAAGCCAGGCAGCAAAACCCCACCAAAGGCAAACAGCCCACGATGATGACTATGGAGGAAAACTCTTCAGCCCTGAGCTTTTTGACACCTCTGGCTCTCAGCAGCAAAGGAGCTCCACAGGGAGTCAGCAACAACCATTCCTTCCATTCAGCAGAAGCAGGACAAGCAGTAACGCTTTGCAGATCTTAAACCCATCTGCAGGTAGTTATCCCAGGACTAAAGCAGCATGAGGATACAGGCAAAATAAATAAATAATACAATATAATAATCTCTATTACCTCTGCCAAAGGAATCTGGCACTTCCTGTCACTGCAGTCGTCCCTATGAAAGCTGCCACCATGAGCCTACGCCTGGTCCTGGGGTGATGAGCTGTCCCGTGGTAACGCCGGGCAACAGCGGACAGCCCTGCCGCGACGGGGAGAAATCGAAGGCGAAACATCCTGTCAAATAAAAAGAACACATCAGTAAAGCAACAAACAGTTTCCAGTTGCAGACTCTCGCCCTAACCCTCAACCAGAGGCTTGCTCATATTTTTTTTTTCTAAAATTGGAAAGTTACAGAAAATAACTGTCACAGATCAGGCTTGCTCACATTTTTTTTCTAAAATTGGAAAGTTACAGAAAATAACTGTCACAGATGTTTATTAGCTGTTCTGAAATCGGTGCGTCACCTGGCTAATAAATAGCAAATTACAAGTATTACAGATGGGCATACACCTGGCTGACACGACTCGCCATCACATCCCAACTACTTATGCAGCTGCTCCTACAACATTTTTCAGATTCCTCTTCAGCCTTTACCCAGCACGCTTTGTTACGAGGAAATATTTGCACACTCCCGCTCAAGTGCCAAGGCACGGAAAACGCAGGTAGATCTTAAAAGCAACAGCAAATAAGAGCCATTTGGCCAGAGGACAAGACACAGCTGGATTTTAAAAGGCAAAAATAAACCAAATAACAAGCAAACCAACTACACAAAACCCCAACCCAGTCATTTTAAGTTTCCTTAAGAAAATCCCACTGTTCTTAAATCACTTTTTTAGCTAGCCTGGAGCAAAAACAAGTTATATTCAACTTCAAGGGAAGTTTCACAGTGTCAAAACTCATAAAATACAACCCATGCCCGGTTACACACACAAGGGTACAGGGACAAATGGGAAACCAGAGCGACAAATCTAAACGTTGTTACCGCAGAGAAATCTGAACTGCAAAACCATCCCCTCCTCACACACAGCAGCGACAGGGGAGAAAGCAATTTTTGCTAGCTCACCAGATTGAAGGTGAAGGGTAAATGTTGACTTTGAAAAGAAAAGGTGCTGCATCTTTTAGTGAAATAAAGGTTTCATTTCTAACTGACGCAAATTCAATTTTCCGATCGTCTCAGTCAGTCTTGAAAAAAGGAAATTGGGAACAGAACGGTAAAAGAATTCCGAAGGCCAGCAAAAAAATTGGAAGTAGAGAGAGCAGCAGAGCAGTGGCCCAATTTTTAACTTTAGTTCCCCATTCTTGCTGTTCCATTCAAATATTCCTAGCCAGTGAATAACCACAGAATGCAAAAATAGAGTCCCATTTATTGGTTTCTACTTGCTTCTGCAACACAAGATGCCACCATACCGTTCTGCTAAACCATTAACTCCCAACAACGAGGATCTTGGGACCGTTTTGCGCAAACACATCTTAACATCCATGGTGTGTTACCCCATTTCAGCTATAAAATCCCATTTTCTGCCGGTTAAAGCAACACGCAGCTCAGGATTTCATAATATGAACCAGTGATGCGAATTTAGGGAGGGGGAGAGAGGAACAGGGAGGGAAGACTCATATAAATTTTTCAGCAGATAAACTGGAGTGCCAGAGCTCAATATCTTTTAAGGCAAGAGGTGGTGGAGATGCATCTGAAGATTTCGGCAGCACAATCAAGAAACAGGTGGCAATGGGAAGGAAAGCACAGATAATGAAATATCATTAGCAAACCCCCTTATCGGTGATTTTTATCAGATCTAAGGCTTTTGCACAGTCCTGGGACAAGGGAGATGGGAGGGAGCACCAGCAGGCTGGGACCAGCACAATCAAGAAACAGGTGGATATGGGAAGAAAAGCACAGATAATGAAAAATCATTAGCAAACCCCCTTATCGGTGATTTTTATCAGATCTAAGGCTTTTGCACAGTCCTGGGACAAGGGAGATGGGAGGGAGCACCAGCAGGCTGGGACGGAGCTGGCAAAGCCACAGGGTGTCTATCTCTCACCACCCTGGTTTATGGGCAAATTCCATGAAGTTTGCTGCTCACAACCAGTGCATCTGAATAGTATCCACTTGATATTCATCTGCACACACATTAAAAATCAAGTTTGCAGTCAGCATTACCATTTTGTTTATTCCTTTAAAAGTAAACAGGCTTAAAATTAAAGTTCTAATGGAATCCAGCCAGCCAACAGCATCTATTCTCCAATTTTCTCCAGCTCTGAACAATAGAAGATTTTGTAATGAGGAACAGCTCTGATTTCAAATTTAAAATTAATTCCATCCTACACAAACCTGATGTTCCCATTTCATCTCCAGGGATAAATTTCTGTTACGTATGCAGAGAAAAATCTGCAAGTGTTATTTTCACCAAGAAGCATCATGTTGTCCTTACTTGGGTTCCCCATCCTAATTGCAGCTTTATATGCATAAGAAGTAATGGATAAGGGAAGCGTTGCCAGTATCATTTAATCAGGCAAAATGAAAATCAAGCCCCACAGTGCTTACTTCTGAGCTTGAAGAGATTTTAACAACATTTCAGATTGCTGGCTTAAGAGCTACAAAAATGTTTGCTCTGTCTGAGCCCTAAGAAATATTAAATTATCCGCTTTGTCCAGGACATCTCCATAATTCATGGTGCTGGGATGTTCACCCAGACAGTGCTCACGTGGTAGCAACCACCCAAGAGAGCTGAAAGCAGTTCCCATTATAACAACCCTAAAAATAAAGAGAATCTTTGTCTCAGAACAACAACAACAAAAACACACATTTCGGAAGCTGAACTTTCCATGCTTTCCATCTGCAATATTAAAATCTCTCATAATTTTTATTTTTTTTAAATCAAAAGTGTTATATTTGGTATGTTTTGTTAAAAACTCCAGACATTTAAGTCAATATCACTCAAGAAAGCTGGCGTTCTCTTTTCAAAAGATTAAAAATAAGCATCTTGCCGTAACTGCAGCAATGAAAAGCTTAACACCACGATCTGCAGTAGGGTAAGGAATAAAACTGAGATAAAGTATAAAACTCCCACAAACTGATGTGATTACAGCTTGCAATAAGAAATAACCTCAATTCTTGCGTGATTTAATGCAATAAACGATTTGGGGTTTTTTTACAGGATACAATAAAGTAGCTCAGAGAAAAAAACCACTACCAAACTTAACCGCCATTAATTCCAAAATAATGAAAATAAGGACATAAAAGTTGTAATGACATCCTAGCATTACTGCTACAAGGAATCTGTAAATCATATTTTTGTTTCTAAAAGATAAGCCAGTCTTATCTTAAGTTCTGGTCTGAACAGCTCTACAGTTACTTTCAGAGGTTGAATTAATACCCTTGGGCAAAAGAAATAGTTGGGGCTTTGTTCCAAAAAAGAATTACATGTCTGCTTTTATTTATGCTACATGACATGGGTATTGGGTTGGGTTTTTTTTAAGCAGAAGAGTCAACTGAAAGACTTGAAGATTTAATAAAAGTTTTCTTGACTCCACCAAACCACTATCCTCAAAAAACTGAAAAAAATAAACCCAACCAAAAAAAAAAAGTCAACCAGCCCCAAACCCCCACCAAAAGAGATCTGACAGCCCATCCCACTACCTGGCTCACTCTGTCCACCACGTTTTTGTGCCCCAGCTCCATGGTTTAAGCTGTGTTTCTGCCCCAGCAGCTCTCATGATCATCAGGTAAGGGCTCAGGGCCCTGCTCTGTGGGGACACGCAGCTGGCAAGATGGAACAGCATAAAGCCTCACGTATTTGTAATTTAGCATGAAACATGACATCCAGGAAACCCAGACACGACAGGCATCCTTCAAACTGAGGACATTCAGATGGCTTTAAAAGAAGAAATGCAAAATTATTTCGACAGCTATATACATTCTGGCTTGATGTGGATATTTTATTTCTCCAAACAATGATCTTCTGCCTGCTAACCTATTTTGCAAGGAAATTCACACAGGCTCTCTGCTTCTTCCCCTTGCCATGTCCAGAGCATCAGCAGTTCAGCCCTGGATTTTTCCACTGCAGATCCCAACACTCTTGCATCCTTTTTCAGATACCAAAATAAAAGAACAAAAAGACTTGCTCCCATTTTTCCAGCACCCTAATTAGCTGATGTTCTCAAGACTGAAAGCGCTAAGGAGCCCAGTCTGGGAAAAGGGACTTCTTTGCACTTGGGTACCCCACAGCACTGAACTTTTTGTTGTCCTTTTTGGCAATCCAGAACAGCCTCGGTTTTTAAGATGAAACCCACTTAAAGCAGCTTTTTGATGTCAAAGCTGGCCTCAGTGGCACAAGCATGTGAGAGGGAGAACAGTGACTGAATAAGCTGATGGGTGTTTAATTTTTAATCAGAGAAGGGTTCACAGGCACCTTTTATTTGAACAGATTTACTAGGGCACGGTAAGCTTGCGCATTAGTGCAAAATGTCAATTGTAAATTTAAATGAAAAATATTGTTATATAGTAAGATCTTCTCAAAAAAGATTTGCATTTATGAGGCATTTCTCAGGCATAAAGGCTTCTGCAGGGACTGCAGTCACTAAGAACCAGATGAGCTTTATGGAGCTGTATCTTTATTAAAAAGCAAAGTCTGACTTTGCCAGAGCACACCAAGACATCCTGACCCAGCAGCCACTGCAGGAAAATTCCTCACTTACTTCCATCTCAGCCCCTGACCATCAATTACACCTCACCCCTGCTCACTGGAGACAGTGACACCAGCTCCAGAAGGCCCTGGTGGGGTGCCCTGAAGCAGAGAACCCAGCAGCAGAAGAGTGAGGGTCTCAGCTCCCAGCTCTCCTCGTCTCCTCCTTCGTCTTATCAAGACTGTTATTGGGAAAAGAGGAAGGAAAAATTGCAATGAGGAAGAAAGTACAACAAATAAATCCAAGGGGAAGGAAAAGTCAAGACACAAGGGAAAGGATAAAGTAATCAGGAGAGAAGTTCCACCATCAACATTAATATAGAGATACTTAAAATAATCTGAGATATATAAACCCAGGGGAAAAAAACCAAAGTCTTAGCATCAGACCTGCCTCCTCCAAGATTAAGTTAGTAATTTTGACTTCTCCTCCCCCTAGTTCTCCGTACTCGCCATTTACAAACTGGTACAAGGGAGAGAGATTTCTACAAAGATAGTTCCCACAAAAGGTGCCCAGAGGTAGATTCCAGCTACCGAGGCATCTGGATCCAC